AACAGTGATGCAATTATCATAAAAGGATTTTGCAAACTTAGTGAACAAACTTTTATAGCGACTGAATCAACATAAACTGACTCAGAAAGGTTTCTCTTTAATTGACTGGGATTCTGTCGCTTCAATATGCCACCCTTCAGTCTTACACAACACTGATGTATTTAGAAACAGTGTTTTTTTTCCCCCCCCACCAACTGACCCGTCATGTGTAGCTGGTGCAGCCGGTGGTAAACCAGGGCGGCGTCACGGCTGCTTTTGCAGGCGTCCTCCTTCAGGGGGCGGTCCGATCGCAGCCCTCCAGCCCTGGCAGCCAGCCAGCGGCCGACCCAGAGGCGCTGGAGGCAGAACCGTAGCAGGGACCAGAGTGCAGCACAGCCCAGGTCCAACTGGGAGATGGGTAAGGGACGACCAAGAGCCTTCAGACAGGTCCACAGGTTCTGACTGGCCTGGGCAAAATCTCCCTGGGGGAGGGGGAAAGAGATCAGGGATGATGATGATGAAGAAGAACAGAAAAAAGGTATAAAAAAAAATATAGGGACACAGATCTTATATCTATACATACTCTAGCTAGGTCCAGATCAGCCTGCTTGCGGTGCCTCCAGAACAAGACAGAAGAACCAGAGTGTGGTCTGGTTACAGGCTCTCCATACACCAACAGTCGGATCAGAACCCCTGACACCAGAATACCGTTCAGTAGCCACACCAGTATAGTTGGCAGCATCCAGTCCATCCAGCCCCACGAGTCCGCTACGGAAAACACATTTAATTCATCATGTGATACATCCCACGAAATCAGATTCTTACATACTTTCAAAACCAGCTCATTTCTGTGACACTCCCACCGACAGTGGCTACACGTTACCTGCGATATCCACACCCAGGACGCTCCGTCCTGCGTGATGGGGGGCGGTGGCTGCTGCTGCTGCTGCTGCTCTTCCAGCTGAACTGCTGCCGGATGAGCAGAGCAGGGCGGCCAGAGGGTTGAGGGAGAGGAAGAGGAAGGTGATGGTGCACAAAGCCATGCGGGAGCGGTCCAACATGCCGGCAGCACTGTCTCCTGCTGCCGGTCCGTCTAGCACGCCCACGCTCGGCTGCTAAATAAAAGAGACCACAGAGATACTGCAATGTGACAAAAGTGTAGACGCAGACAGTGACTGCATATTGTATTCTGATGAAGAACGGTGCTGGTTGACTGAGGATTTTATCTGTTACGGACACAAATGCAAGATACTATTTCTTATGCATACCTTAGTGTCCTCCCCCATTGGACTGTCAGGCTCTGAGTCACTGCCACAGTGGGAGAAGGAGGTGGGGGAGCCCACGTCTGAAGCCGGCGGGGTCGGCAGCTCATTCTTCACATCAGCCGGCGCATCCACATCCATGGCAACCAGGTCCTTGAGAGACTCTGAAGAAAGAGGAAAGGGAAGACGAGGAGCCAGGAGGTCAATCAGTGGTACAAAAGTAAAGACATCTTCAGCCTTCAATTTCACTTCGATTCATTTCAGGATAACCGTAGCTATCAATAGACCGCATCACAAAAGGTCAATTGAATGACTGGCTTTCAATGAACAGAAAAGAAACAGCAGAGAAGCTGTTATGGAATAACAAAGACGGGGTTTTTTTTTTTTAGCACGTACTGTTTTTCTGGGCTGCCATCTTAAAAGCCATGTTCTCCTGTTTGAGTTTGTGGTTGGACTGCTGCAGGTAACGGATGTAGTCGAGGGTTTTCCTCAGCACTGCAGACTTGTTGAGCTACAAGGAAAAATGTAAAACATTAGCTTCTTCCTTTTCTCAATGTTGAAGATTACCAGATTTTTCTCGCAACGTATTTAAATTAAACTCTTTCCTACCTTGGCCTCAGTACCAGCCACCATATCTTTGAGCTCCAGGATTTTGTCATTAATCGAGGAGCGGTAGCGCTTCTCGATGGCGTTGTGGGCCGTGCGCTTCTCTCCCTTGTGCGGCTGGCCGAACGGCTTACCGCTGATGGTGATGCGGTTGATAGGCAGCTTATCGGTGTCCATCATGAGCGGCATCGCGGTCAGGATGGTGCCACCGCCCATAAAGGCCTAAAGAGGTAGAACAGATAGCCAGAAAATAAGGAAGACAGTTACCTAAGGAATGCTCATATTTGATCATTGTTTGAGCTCAGCATTGTGTTGCACATGATGTGCCTACCTGCAGTGAAGCGCTCTGTATTGGGGTGGTGGTGGTCAGGGATGCGGAGGACATGGTAGTGACAATGCAGGGGTCGTGCTTCAGAGTGGTCAGCAACAGAGACTCCGCCTTGATGAACTGGGGCTGCAGCAACAACTGCAAAGAGGCACACAAGTACAGTAAAGATATACAGTTATACAACGAGTACACTGCATGCGTTTTGTATGTACAAGTACGTTTAGGTACTCACGGGTACATGCTGCACGTGGGGTGCAATGCTTTGAACCGGGGGACTCGCCGACGTGGCCAGGAGAGGAGACGTGGTGGTCAGCCCTTGGAGCTGAGCCTGGATGGTCACTGGCTGAACACTTGGAGGTGAGGACGACAAGATGGTGGCGGTGGGTTGGCTCACGCTGCTGGGACTGACAGCTGGAAAATAGTTATAGCAATAGATTTTTTGTCAGCCTACATTCAAGCATAATTGTATGAAATATACACACAAAAACGATCCACCTCATTAACTGCTTTTAAGCAACTGCACACTAAAGTAATACAGAGCATGAAGCAACTGTTAAATTGCTTTCACCTCATTGTTGCAGCAACAAAAAACAATACCCCTGTATCCTTTACAAATCTCGACTGCAATTTTGGAGTTGAATATTATAAAAGAAGAAATTATAGATTAACCAATACATTGCATCAGTATATGGTATCAGCTAATATAAGCTATAAAAAGCAAAGTCAAATAGGACCAGTGTTCTTTTCACTGCTGTGATGTGGCAGTTTGTAAACACTTTTGTGATACTGGTTTCATTGGAAATAAGTGATAGCAACATTCAGTGTGTCACCTTATTATTCTTATCAGTTCCGGCTGCTCCATCGCAATCACCTGTTAGTACTAGGATCGGGGAGTTTTACAGGAGTAATAAACATTTATTGCATCTAAGAAGCAACGTTTTATTTACTACTTTTCTGCCACGGTTGTAAATGAGTGTTTCGCTACAGACACTAAACACAGTGCATATGGTGCCTGTGCATACATTTATGTTAAATTCTAAAGCTACTGCGATGTCCATATTAACTAAACTAATACCAGACACAAGCAGATGTTAATGTCAACATCGCTGCCGCAGATATGCCGCAGTATGTACATATACAGTAGGTATTGCCCAAACGGAGCATTTTCACTTATCTCACAGACTCACGGCGTTGAGCAAAGTCTGATAGATTTGGACTGGGATACGAGTTCAGCTGAGGTTGAATAACCTAGTGGCCTAGCTCGGTGAATGCAATACACATGAAGAGCCACCTTGCTGGGCACTGCGGCTGCACTGGGGTAAGTAATGCTTTGGGCTCGTAGGCTGGTTTATGTGTCCTGTGCTTCAAAACCAAACATTATAGCTCCTATTGGCTAAAATAAAAACCTCAAGGACCTGTAGATATCCTGTACTGTCTAACTGATAAACAATAGAATAAACCCTCATCGCCATCAAAGAGCGCTTACTTGTGTAGCTGTTCTGGTTGCTGTAGGTGGCCCGGACCTGTTGAGACTGCACCTGGGCCTGAAGTGGTGCCTGAGTCTGGGGTTGAGGCGGAGTCTGGGGCGCAGGCGAGGTGAAGAGGACCTGGGCCGTGGAGCTGAAAGGTGGGTTTGGTGCTGGTGAGCCATGAGGCGAAGCTGTCCGGGCCGGGGCAAGCGGGCTGAGAATGGGTTGGGGCTGCTCCACCTGGGGCTGTCTGAGGGTCTGAGCCTGCGGCGGGGAGGCTGGCTGCTGCCTCGGCGTGGAGCTGGGAACCTGGGCCAGGGGGGACTTCTGGAAGGTGGGAGGCTGGAAGGCCTTGTCTGGGGTGGAGGAGCTACGGGTGATGGGAGGGCCCAGGAGTGCATCCAGGTGTGGGCTACTGCTTAGGATGGAAGAGGACGACGAAGGTGGAGGTGTGGTGGTGGTGGTTGGAGCTGGAGTTGGAGGTGTGGTGATGGACTGGGACAAACCAGGAGGCTCCTGGGTGGGAGGAGGCCCTGTGTATGGAGGGTTATCGAACAGTCCTCCAAACTCCATGTCCTGGTTGCTGATGAGCTGTAGCATGTCTGAAGAGGGAGAGAAATCAGAACCACCGTCAATGCTACTGAAAAAGTTGAAAAATATATCAGAATCATCCAAGAGAACTCTGGTGAACAGACACGGGAAATCTGCAGTTTTTAATTGGAGCCCGTTTAAAATTGATAAGACATTTGTATGGAAACATGGATGTCAGTTTGGCTTATTGAGTACTGGAAACATCTTCTGAGTCGTAAACCGGATCTCCTTAATTTTCATCTACGCTGCTGGTTAACCATTCATTAACCCACATGCATATTGTTTATGATATAACCGATCAGGAAGAGCCCTCAAAAATTTCGCCCAAGACCGAACTAATGCCAGAATGTAAAACTCAAATATACAAAAAAAAAGTATAAAACATTCAAAAAATGTAAATAGTACATTGCTAAAAAAAAGAAAACAGAGAATATTTAAATTGTTCTGTAGTTCAGATTTTTTTTTTTTATCCAAAATGAGAATCACCAAATAGTTTGATTAATAAAAATGACAGCTGGGGAAGCTTGAAACTGATAAAATAAAGGAAGTGTTTACCTTGAAAACATTTTGGTTCCTTTCATACTCAAAACAAAATATATCATGAATTGGGACCAGGGTTCAATAATAACCAAAACTTGATATGAATGGATAAATAACTGAATCCTATTCAGAATGTGTGTTAACATACAAAGTACAAAAGTATTGCAAAAGACGAGCAGAAAACTTGTCAAATGTACTGCATTGCTCGACAAACATATGAAAGAGTTGTAAAACTAATTTGATTATAGTCTCTTTAGCATGAACATGTCTGAACATTATCTTATTTCACATACAAACTGCTGTTGTTTAATGGGAAATGCTTTTACAACTATATGACAAATATCATGTTCAAAGTGTATTCAGGGTACTCTAATATACATATATCCTGCTCTTATTTTAGTATATTTTTAGTCTCTAATTTGACCTGATGAAGCTCAGACAGGATACATCGCAATAAAACCCACGGACACTCTTGAGTGCATGTTGTGTCTGCAGTGGAAACGCAGCAGCCTGCTTTTATAGTCCAGTGTTGTGTATGAGGTGATCGCTCTTGGCCAATCAGAGCGCGTCTCAGAGACTTGCTATGCCGATCAGCCCAAGACAGGGAAGAGAGAGAGCGCGCGCTGGCTCCGCGCGAGGTTACCATCGAGCAGCACCACTGAGGGTTACTGTCGGTCACATTTAGGAAGATGCGAGCACGTCTGCAGGATGCGCAATACGCAGTGGTGCTTTATCCTTTGACCATTATCATGAAAATACACATTAGCGTCTTTGTGGGGAAATGAAGATAGTACACTCCTCATATATGTATAATAAAACAATGTTATATTTACTCGATATGCATTACATTAAACCGGTGATGAGAATGTGACCATAACACCAACAAACATTTGTATTTAGCTAAATAGGCACAAGCTGTTTTATATTTGTTAAGTATATAACGTTTCTGCAAACGTAAACAAGAACGTGTTTACAAAAAGCATAAGAAAAAAAAGTGGCAATAGCACATATAGTAATATATATATATATATATATATATATATATATAATATTTGTTAAGTCGGTCAACAGGAATGAACGACAGTAACCTCTGTCTGTGGCGCAGGCTGGGGGCGGGGCACACTCACGTTAGCCTAGCCTACTAGCTTAGCATAACCCACCAGCTTAGCTAGCACGCTCTATTAATCGCTTAATACGAAAACAGATTATGATGGCGAGTTCTGAATAGTGTGTGCAAGACACGACTCCGTAGACAAGACCGCCTGTTATCAACATCAGCTAACGTACACAGAATACTAGCTAGCTAAACGGTTAACGTTAGCTAGCTACTCTTAAGCTAACGTTACGACGTGGGCTGAAGCCCTTTAAACTGATCACTGGTGGTGCTTAATGTTGGCATAAATAAGTCTTTTAGTCTGAACATTAGATGCGAAACACAGGAGGCAAGTCAAACTAAGCACATGGCACGCAGGAGGCAACGTTGGCGTTAAGCTACAAGCAGTGTTTATGCAGTTTAGCTCATGTTAAAACGTAACTAGATGAGCTAACATACACACTGTTATATTGTCTTACCATCAATGTCGCTTAAGAGGGCCGTGTCAATCTCGCTGGGGTCATTTAGCGACAGCGTTGGATCCAGATTATCCAACGAAGGATCGTCAAAAGACAGGCTGTTCATCTTTACTGTTGTGTCTGGCTCTCCGATGTACACTTGACTGGCTGTGGAGTCGCTCAGAGACGAAAAAATGGGGAAACTTCTCGCGTCCCTACATTTGCCAAAAGCGTCAGATCCCGAGCTGCAACTTTGTATTGATGTGTCAAACTAACCACTCACTCCTACACCCATGATGGTCCAGGGAAACTTGTTAACCCAAGCCTAACACTGGAGCTCATTCAGTACCAACGTGCTTACGGTGAACCCACCCAGTCGACAATGATTGACAGGCTCGCAAGCCAATCACCGCCTTTGTGATGGATTCCAACGTACTCTTGTTTCTCGGGGTTGTTTTGATTATTTGACTGAAGAGGTGACATAATGTGGAGCATGTGCCATCATTTTATAATACAATAACGTACATGGAAACATGACTATTAATGTGCTCAACAAACTGGTATATTGGCTTCAAAACACCCATTTCATTTAATTTAATAGTATTAGTATTACAAAAGGATTATCTACGATGTATGAATGTAATGTGTTTTATATATAATAAATCAACCCTTGCTAGTAATCCCAGTTCTGTACATACGTATTAATATCAGGCATATATGTTTCACTAAACTGTGTATTGTGGGGGAAACAGCATGGATGTGTTTATTATGGGTTTGCCCCCAACAGCCAATGAGAGCCGAGGGGGCGTGAGCTGATGACAGACAAGTTTGTTTGACTCGAAGCAGCAGCTCCTCCTGTAGAACCAGGAAAATCGACCAATGGGATGCTCAGGAGCCGAGTGGGGTGATCTGACGTCACAACTCTGGGTCAAGTGATTACATCATGTTTCTATCTTAGAATAGTAGCAGCAGGGAAGTGACCTGAAGGGACACAGGTGACCTTACAGAATAAAATGAGATTAAAGTGTAATTTTTTGACCAAAGAAATGGATAATAAATACCAACTCTATACCCCTCAGTACAGTTATATATCTAATTTAGTCTGCAAAGTATGGCGTCTTCCAGTAAAAAAAATACACATACATTATTAATAATGTAAACAATTGGCAAGGGATGGATGCTTTATTTACATTTAAATTAAAACTAAGATGTGAACACACCGTCACATGAACGCAAAGGGGGAACCCCACAAAAGCATGGTGGGAAATCAGGTCAGTAAACTAGAGTAGCACTGCAACGTTGTTGTAATATTAACAGCCAGTCAGCAAACCTGGTATTGTTGGTGATGGGGTTAGTTTGTATAAACACGCATGTCTTATTCACTTGCTCACTGCCAGTGGCGCCCCACAGGCAAACAAAGGAAGCAAAATGTATATATAAAAACTATATGTGTTAAGATTTGTTGAGCAGAGTGGATGAAATGTCCATGAACCCACACATGGGGGGGGGTGGGCGAGAGCCTCATCATGTGACCAGTGCAAGATTGCGAATGGGTTGCATCAGCATGTACACATGAAGAAGAAGAAGTGAGTGTGTCACACGGCCCCTTAATTGTAAAATAACCACAAACAGTTGTGAGGTAGAGGTCACACATTGCTAGTGTTTTATTGGGCAGTTATATATACGTGCAGCAGGTCAAACAAAAATCTGACCATTAGTAACGGCAGAAGATGGCACAGCCACACAGACATGGGACACCCACCGACGGAAAACAAGCCTCTCTTCCATGTCCACCAAACATCCGCTCAATGTTCTGCTTCTTCAGTATTAAAAGACATTCAATAACCATTTTTGAGATAGCATGTTGCAATCAGGACTTAAGCTTCATAAAAGCGAGTAACACAATACACTGTTACAGATCCAGAGATGCGTAACATACAAACAGAAAATTACTCAAGTTCCCTTTTTAAGGATCTCCCGTTACATCTTTAGTAATCCTTTGTTCAGCTTGCATCGTACATTTTGTTATTAAAGTGAACACAATGGTTGATTGTAAATTTAACGCTATTATCTCAGTTACGTGGCAACCATATTAAACCATATGCAACCATACAGCATTCAAAAAAAAAAAAAGTTAAAGCTCATTAATCATGAACTTTCCAGAACTAAAATACATTTGTATATTCAATCATAATGATTACGCAGACACAAAGTTGCAATTATGTTAAAGTATAACAAATCATGAATATTTCCCTTTAGTGGAAGGTCTATACTGACGACACGTAATGCATGATGCACGAATTAGGCTTTTACATCTTGGGATGCCTTGATTGACAAGGCTTTTGGTCTTAAATGGACTAAAACAATCTTCAACGTTAAAACAAACCAGAGCTAAAAAAAAAAAAGAAGAAAGAAAGCTAAAGAGCTGGAATGGAGACAGGATTGCTTTTTGCCTCAAAGACAAACACCAGTCAGAGCCACTTTGTTGAAATCAGCCAATCACAGAAATGCTTGGCAGCAGCTGCAACAGGAGCAGATGAATCACAACAGAATGAAAACACATCAAGAACGAAAGTACGGCTTTGACTGCACAAATCAAAGAAAGTGTTTCAGCCTCAACCACAAAAAAGATAAATGATAAAAAGGGTTTTTTTTTTTTTTTTTTTTTTTTTTTTTTTTTAAACATGAACTATGAAAATACAATCAGGGAATCAAACGATACATGAACCTCTCTGCCCTCTGGATGTTACTATGAGTCTAAATATGTTTAACCAGATACAGAATCTAGAATTCATGCATTTTGAGGTATATAGATTACATAGTTGAGAGTAAGTGAAGATGCACCTATATTAACACAGTGCATTATTCTAAGCTTTACTTTTTGTCCGTTAGTTGATTATGGTGCCAGCGCCAAGTCATGCTGATCCTTTAAATGCCATATTCTGTCTTGCATGAGCGTGTTATTTTTTTAAAGTTTAACTGTCCATCAATCCTCTTATTTGTGAACAAGCCCTGCAATAACACAGTGACAAAAGTTAAGTGCAAAATGAAGTCAATCTAATGACCATTTCCCATCCCCTAGAAAAATATTAAGCATCTTGTAAACGCAAAAGGGAGAAAAAAAAAAAATACAGACTCGCTTTTGCTTCAAAGTGCACAAACATCAACATAGCAGGGGAAGGAAAAACTCAATACTGGCCGGTCATTAAAGCCTCAACGTTCTTTGGAATGGCTTAAAGTGTTTGCAATTGTTCCAAGGGCGGCTAATTTGTTGTAGCTTTTCAGAGGACTGAAAAGACTCACGGGAAATATTCCACGGGCACGTTCCTTCCCCTTAGCCATTTAAAAACACAAAGAATCCTAACTAGTGCCTTTTCAGATTTTTGTTTTTTATATTCCCTTTGGTAAAAGGAATGCGGGCGTACACTCATCAAGAGTAGCTGTTATACATTTAGCTATTAGCAGCATTAGCCTGCTAACAATAAGCCTTTTGTCCCCGCTGCTTCAGGCAAATTGGGTCATAAAGCCTGTTTCCATTCCACACATATCTCAGTATTAAAAGCAAGACTCGAGCTCTAACTGGAGTATTTTGTGGAGAAAAGCATGGCTGGACCAGAACCACAGAGCTAGTACATAGTACAGAACAAACCATTAAAACAATAAATGCATAAATTAGCAATTAGCTGAATGTAGTCAAACACAATGTAATCCTAATTGTATGCTTTCATACCGACTCAAAGCATTGACCTGTAAGTGAATCTTTTCCCATTGACCTCGCAGTAATATACCACATTTTCAAACCACATCAGACTAGTTAGCTCGTCTTTCTTTGGTGGTGCGTTACAAATGAGATGCAGAGCTGCGAGTAGTACATCCCACGCTGACAGATCAATACATCCATATATATAGTAGAAACGCAACACAGTCGTGCGCAGTAAACATGTTAAAGCAACAGCGTGGCAAGAGAACGACAAGGAGGTGGAGATCACTTGCCACACCACTGCCAGTCAGCAACAAAATGGGACCCGGAGGGACTGTTAGGGAGGAATCATTTCGGGGCGAGGACCTTTAGATGCCCCTGGAGAGCGACCCGAGGTTCTCCGAGAAGAGTCTACAAGGCAAAGAGGGCATCCTCCGTCCGTTCAGCCTTCTTGTGGGAGCCACCAGCTGCACGAGCGGGGTGAGCGCCGGGGGGAGACGGCAGAGAGTCCGGTGCCTTCGCTCGCTCCTCCAGGAACTTGTCAAACTCTGAGAGAAACAGATGAAAAATCAACAAGGCTTCACACACATTAGAGCGAGTGGAGCATATGCAGCTGTGATCGGTCTGTACCTTCACTGGTCACCCCGTCCTCGGCAGCATCCCCTTTCTATTGAGAAAAAAAGTCAGAAGATAATGTACACACACTGGCATCATTAATGGAGTCGTCTTTGTTTCAAAAGAGAGGAATAAACCTTAGTGGACAGGACAGTCAGTAACACATTTAGTTGATACTCAAAAGCATCACACAAGTTCCATTCAAAGTCGTTCACGAAGAATCCGTCAATCATTCATCCGTCCACACTTTTTCACAGGTGACGAGAACAAGGAACCTTCTTGAGCCGGACTCCACAACCTCCACATGCACATGTTAAGGAACCCATCTTAACGTGACCACCATTAGCACTATGTTAGCATTCGTAAGGCAAACCCCAAAGTGTTATATGGAAGCCATTTGTGGAAATACATTAGTTTACAGTGAATGAAAGGATGCGATGTGAAAGGAAACTAAAGTCAACGGGTGAAATGCGCTATTGAAGAAAAACAGAACCAAACCGAGGGGAGAAGGGGGAGAAAAGGATATAAATCAAGGTAAAGAAGTCTCACCACGTCAGCACAGAGCCACTCCTCTATGTCATCCATGACAGAGGACTGCGATACGGGGATCTACGGAGCAAAGCCATGGACAAACCAAGGGGCAGCACCAAAGCCACACAACGGGAAGACACCCAACCCCGACAACAAAAAGAAAAATTATAACACACACACAAAAAAAAAAAATTTAAAAATCCATTAAAAAAAAAAAAAAAAAAAAAAAAAAAAAAAGAAAAAAAAAAGGAGTCACCAAAGGCTCGGAGAGGAAGATGATTAATGAGAACAAAAAGAAGATTTGCTCAAAAGACACTCGACCCCTCTCAAGTCTGTGCTCGTATTGTTTCAGCTCAGCTGTCTTCAATGGGTTCAGGAGTTCCCAGGTTGTGTATTGTTCTCATTAGTTCTGTAGTGCTGACATGGCTTAACAGCTGCCGACTAATGTCACACAGCAGTGTTAATTATTCCACATCATTAGTTAATTAGCAAATCGCTTGAACGTGATTAAGAGATTGATTGGCTGGGAAAAGCTGAAAGCACAGGGACCGTCGAGAGGCGGGGGCAATCCCACGGCATACACATACATGGAGCGAGCGCGCGCATACATGGAGCGAGCACACACACGCACGAACACACACACGAACACATGCACGCACACACACACACGAACACACACGAACACACACACACACACACACACACACACTGACTGATGATGTGATGACGCCGCGTCAAAGTGGAGGGCGTGCGTTTGGACACCAAACGATCGCGGTGAATCAGGACTGCGAGGAAAGTTTGTTGCGTTATTTGCCGGATGAGCAGCATTCTGGGAAATGGCTAAAGTTGCTAGCTGGCTTTATGTTTACACACGATACTTCTTCCACATCCTTTTCCCTGCGATGAAGTCCAAGTCCACATTTGACGTCGAACTGATATCAAACTTGAATAGAGAAAACAAAAACCTTTTTGCTGAGACCCTGCTGTCGACGACAAGAACACGGGTGGGGTTTCCTCGTGAGATAACAGTTAAGGCAATGAAGGAGCTTCATTAAATTAAAGGCCAGGACAGTGAAAGGCATCCACAGGAAGAAAACAACACATGCAGCTGTGTGAACAAGAGAAAATGCTGTAGAAAAGTGTGCAATAAGAAGTCTTCCCTTAACACTCATAAAAGTTCAAAGTGTAATCCGTTATACTCAAATATTCAGTCATAATATTAACTTAATATGTTAATATTACAACTACTGATCCATATGTTAGTTGATCTATTTCTGGTTAGGGTGAGATGTTAGTTACATCTCGTGTGTTATTTAAGATCCAAAGACATTTAAGAGGACAGCTGACAAATACTCTCCACTACACAGCAAATCAACCATCCCTTTGCTTGGGTGATGCGTTATCAGCACTTTAACAATGTTCACCATTGTTGATTTAGCCGTGCTGTGTAGCAGAAGTATCTGTACTTCCCTGCTGTGTTAGTGTGTGACCGTTAAGAGATGAATCGGGCTGATGGAAGCTCCGGGTGACCCGTCAAGCTCATTAACCCGTCTATAAAGGGGCAGCGTTAAAGAGGAACGCTTCAGTAATGGGTTTAGTGCCGGTGTCAGTGGAGTGCAATGAAGGTGGGCAATATTGATAATACCCTATACTATTATACAAGTAACTTTATATCACTGCAGCAATAAATATTGTTTTCTGTAAATTAAAATAAATAAACTGGTTGCATCAATAAAATCCTGGAGAACGTATGTTTTTGTTTAATCCAATGAATTAAATACTTAATACTGAACTAATAAAGCTTGCTTCATTACGCATTATTGATTTGCAAGATGCCTGCATGACCTAAAACAACCAATAAAGCAGATATTAAAGCGATGGCTACCTCAGCAGAAGCAGGTCGGCAAAGTCAGCGATGGTTGACAAACTGCTAACGTCTTAAAAGGATCATTTGGATATTTTGAAGCGGGGTTGTACGAGGTTCTGTTATTGTGCGACTTTGCTGAATCCTGTGTCGGTTTCTCAAAACTGGGCGCGTGCCAACCGCCGTCTACCGACTACGGATAAGAACCTGAAACAACCCCACTTCAAAAGATCCAAACTATCCCTTTAAAAGGTATCATCATATTGCCCAACACTAGAGTGCAACATCTGTACCGACATGGAGGTTGGATGTTCTCCGGTGGAAAAGCTTTGGTAATGGTTTCCTGGTACGGGCCTTCCAGGACAGCGCAACGAGATGAGGCTAAAAAAATGAGAGCAGCTCATGAGGGTTATGGATGATGCCGTGGGAGGTTGAGAGCAGGGGTGACGGTGGACATGGGGGAGGGGGGGCAGGGATGGGGTAGGAGGACACACTGAGGATGGAGTCCTCACCATTCCTTGGGTAATAAGCCAGCTGTCTATGGGCAGCTCCTGATCTGCTGGGTTATCATCCCCTTTTACACTCGGCTGAATCAACAACAGAACAACACCTTACACAAGAGAAGAAAGGTAGCAGGCCCCACCACAGCAGAGCACACAGTGCAGAGAGAGAGACAGGGGGAGGAGTCAAATATGCAAGAGGAGACTGTCATTTAAAAAAAGGGGGAGAAAAAGAGGCGAGAAGGTTGATTCCATAAAGATGAAAATGAGGAAAATAAAAAGGTAAAGTAAAAGCACTGTGCGAGGCATAGGGCACCTGACGTGACTTAAAAAAAAAAAAGAGATGGTATGCGCAATCACCACTGTGTGTGTATGGCAGTTCAGAATCATCTGTGCACATATGCAGCCATGCAAATATATTGCAATGTGTGCTCAGACAGGAGGAAGTTTGATTTTGTGTACAAAGCGATTGGGGTGGAGTTCTCTTTATATTTAACTGAACAGAAAAAGCACTGATATCTGGTTTGAAAAATATATATATATATATATTTATTTTTTTTTTTTTTTTTTTAAAGTAAAGACAAAACAGCTAGAACTTATGTTTAAATAATCTTTTGAGTGCTCCCTTATCGGCACGCTTAACACTTGAACAGTTACCATGTTGCAAGATATTTATTTTAGCTATTCAGCAATAGCAACCCGACGGCCTTTTGTTTGATCAAAGTTCAAGTAGCACCGCAGCGGACTGTAGAACAGTATCACAGGCCATCACATGCAGGGAGAGACCGAGGACAGACTGGTACAGGAAAGGCTCATCAGCCATGGAAATAACACCAACTCCCACGCTCCATATGTGGGTGAACGCTGCATCACTCTACATGCATCAGTGTACTCACCCCTCCTGTGTTCTGTTGTCTCACATCCAAAGCCGAGGCCAGGCTACCCAGAGCCTGAGGGTCCTCGTACTTTACACTGCGCACAAAACATACACAGCACAGTTAAGATCATTTAAAAAAAACACAGTAAAACAGTTCATACTCTGATTATAATGCATTTTATTTCCATGAATATCTGGTCAAATACCAACATTAGGTGAGATTTATTTAAAGATCAGGAACAATGGTCGGAGTTATTATATTATTCTTGGTCATTTTGCCTTCATGACGCAGCACAGTGGAGAAAGACAGAGAGAGGAAAATGAAATGCAACAATGCTCTCTGGCCAGCAGGGATGTTGCTGTTATGTGGCAAAAAACTGCTGCGACACCGGATTCCCCAAAATACCCTTTTTGCAATTTTGCAGCATTCATCAAGAACAGGAACAAATCCAAAGCACTGGAGAAGGAAAAGTAAATCGACTAAATCAACAATAAAGTGACGCAGCAAGGATGATAAAATATCACTTTACGCATTATTATCAAATGAGAAACTTGTGCACCTTGCCCTTACTTCATCACTTTTATTGCTCCACCTTAATGTTCAATTTAACAGCTGAAGGCAACAAGTTGTTGGAAGAGAAAATACCAGATCAACATCCATACACTGGAGTTATTCCAAAGCCATTTTAGCAAATGCACGAGGTAATAATTCACGATAAGCAAGTTAAGGGGGCCCATCAAAAAGTTTAAACTTCATCACACAAAGTGCACATGGGTATATTTTAGTTTAGATATAAAAGGTGGTGATGAAAAGCCATTCAATTTAAAAGAATGACACCCTGAATAAAAACATGAGAGGATCCAGGCTGCCCCAGAAGCAAAAGGAAATCTTGAACCTACTTTTTGCGCTGCTCCGCCAAAGAGCTGGTCCTGGTCTGGGCGAACATGTCAAAGTCATCCGGGTTGCGGCTGGGCAGAGAGGACAGGGTCCCGCTCACGCTGTCCGAAGCTACATCTTGGAGAGGGAACGCGAGAGAGAAGAGCAGAAAAGGGGGAGGAGCGAGGAGAGGACGGAGAAAGCAGAGATGAAGGATTATGAAGAAAGACTCAGGACAGAACAGCTAAATGCAGCTAAATGCCAGGTCTGCAGGGAGGGTAGCTCTGGTAAGAGAGAGTGTATGTGTATAATAGACTGGATGCCCTTTTTTGTTCTTACCAATACTAGCTAGTGCAGACGAAAGAGAGGCCGTGGTGGGGTTAGGGCCCGGGGAGGCGGCGGCCCCGGCGATGGATTTGGACCCAGGGCTACAGCTGATCCTGGGCAAGACCACAGCAGGGGAGCCTGGGCCCAGGTCTATCAGGTTGTCCTCTGTGGCCTCATTCAACATCTGAAAAGGGAGCACAGAGAGGGAAAAAGATGGCCGTCAACAATTCAGTTCAAGCAGAAAATTGAGATGAAGAAAGCACATTGAGGAAAATGACATTACCGAGTGTTTGCCTTATACAGAGAGAATACATTGTATCTACTGAAATGCTACAGGATTGACTAGTTACACAATATGAGACAACATTGAGGGTGAGTAGTTGTGGGTCAGAGGCACAGGAACAGTACAGAGGTTTGTTACATAAACATCTGCACAAGACGTCAAGACGGAAGGGAAGGGGAGGACATTTAGTGTCTGGTTTCACACAGTGCTACCGATGGGTCTAAGCTTTAGCTCCATACAGCAGACGTGTTAAACATTCATCACTCTGTTCATCCCCGGCACATTGGCAAGGATTGAACCTGGTACTGGGCACCATACTTGCCTCCATCAGCTGGCCACAACACAAACAGACAAGAGCACACAGAAAGATCAACAGAATGCGAACACAAAATGCGGGACGTAGCGAGAGATGCCCCCGACCCTTCTGGCAACTCACTGACGCTGGCAAACGCACACTCTGAATAGCAGATTGGGACGTGTTCCGCTTTGCTCTTCCAGTTTTGATGAAGCTAAAAGAATGCAATCGACTTGCATGAAGTGTTAATGCTGCGGTGGATTGTGTACGCCATCACTAATGGGAATAAATCATTCACGTATTAAAATGGCTATGTGGACAGATTTGTCTGAAGCATCCCTCACAGCGTCGTTGATATTGGACAAACGCTGATATTGGACAAATGCTAAAAAGAAAAACAGGCGATCCTAAGAGAGCATTTGTGCGTTTGATTTCTGCTCTTTGAACACAGACTGTGTTGATGGTACTCACCCCGTTGTTCTGCGCGGCTCTACCCGACCTGTACCTCTCGTACCTGCGAGCAGAAACAAAATCCTTTGAGTGTTTTTCCACTTTGTGGGGATCAGATGCTTACACGTCTTTCATCTCCAGAACTCTCATGAAAGAGACATTTTACCAGTTTTGAAGGCGCGGAATGTTTAAAAGGACCGAGTCTTCACACGAGCTCTGGAACTTTGTGGCGTTTGAAATTGCCAAAAAAAATTGTGTTCAATCAGTGTTGAGCAAGCTTTCTCGAAAAAAAAATAGATTTTTCATTGACAAGTTTGGGTATAATTACAGCTGGAGCCTCCTATTTAAAAGCATGAATTTAGGTTCTAGTTCTAGTAAGAACCAAATATTTATTCATCTAACATACTGGACCCAGCCTTGATCTCACACATTGGGCTGGTTCTGTTACATTACTGCGCACACTTGGACCCTCTTCTGAAGCCCTTGTTGTGCTTTAAACATAAATTCTGATCGACCGTACCTCTCATATCGGAGGAAGATGTTGTTGAGGTCGTCGTTGACGTGTAGCAGCTCCTCGGTCACTTCCTCGTTGGAGACCCGTGAGATGAGCTCGACCACTCTCTGCTGCATAGCCCTGCATGTTCTGTTCAGCTCCTGCAGAGATTGATCAATAGATTAACTATAGAGGATCAAATAGTTTTATCAGACACATACACACTATACATCTAAATATGGGGAAATTAACTGTACAATAAATATAATGTACCTGTATTTTTTTTTTTTTTTAAAAGGCATTTCATTTTGAGCAAGATAGAAATATTTGCTCAAATGTGTAAAAAAAAAAAAATAAATAAAAAATAAAAAAAAAAAGTTGCACCTGACAATTACAGCTGGGCCAGGTCCTTAAAACTGACAAATACCTGAGTGGCTTTGCCTTTAGGAGATTAAACTCTGCTTGACTTTCACTACTGTTTCCACTAAAAACTAAAGGCACTACGCCCCCTGGTGGGTGAACATAATTACAACACTTTACAGTTGACGTGCCATGTTGGAAAGCTTTCAGAATTAACACATTTTAGTGTGTTGGGAACTCTTATAGTTAATTAGCTTACATGAGCCCATATTCATTAATACAGCTTGAGAAAACCAAACAAATTTGCTTGCTCAAAATCGTCTTCTAAATTTGGATTTCACCTTCATGTTCAACTCAAAATCCAGTCAGATTTATTTCCGTAATAGTTAACTTTGATGGAAAATGTTGAGTCATGACATCATTGGTTAGAATACAGTGGACCTCATTCATGCGCCTCTCACCTGAAGCAGTTCTAGGTCAGAGGCGTCTTCCTGCCCGGGGACCATCTCTGTCAGCATTTCTGACATGACTTTGGTGTTTCCTCTCACTACGTCCAGCTCACTGCGCAGCCGGGCGATCTGAAAGCACAGCAGGTCAGAGATCATGTGGACACGTTCGGTACCAGCAGTGCTGCAGATGTTCTCCAAGGCGGTCGATTGAGTTGGTCACGGTGTCCAGTTGAAATCTTGTAATCCGCTTTAATCTACGCACTTCACAGTTTAATTGCTAACTCTGGATAAATCTGCTGTATTGACGGACTCTGGTGAAATTAAATAGTGCCGCAGAAAGTACATTTTCTTTTGGGGTCATAGGTTGCTGTTGAAGCCTCTCACCTGTTCAGGGGTAGCTGTGATGGGGCTGGGCATGAGGGAGGCCTGCGTGGTAGATGCAGGGGTCAGGGCCAGGGTTGGGATCGGGATCAGGGCAGGTTTAGGGGTCCCAGCGGCGGGTGAGGCCGGTAGGTACTTGATCATGGCGGGGTCCACCTCTGCTGTAACCTGGAAGCAAAAAAAATACCCCTAAGGACATCGCGTTGTGAATATACATACGTGTTTATACTGCGTTTCTTTCTTCTCACCCTCTGCGGTGTGTGGATGGGAGACAATGCATCCAGGTCGGCCATCGGGAACTCAATGCCTTTCCTCTTCAGTTCCTCATAGATGTGGACCACACCGGTTAGATCGGGGCAACTCCTGAAGGCATCAGCCCAGGCCTGCCACACACACACACACACACACACACACACACACACACACACACAACATTGTGACTTACAATAAACATAAAAAAAACCATAAATAGTCCGTTAGCAGAAAAAGCCCCAATACCTGTATAAGCGACAGCACTTTGTCTTGTACGATGGTTGGAGGATTGGTTTTCGGGGAGATGATTTTGACCAACACACCATCGATGAAGTCTCTGTTGGCCACCTGGACGTGAAACCTGTGGCCGCAGTTCTTCACACATGTCTCCAAAACCTGTAGGGAGGGAGAAGAAGATTAAACGGGAGACAGAAGCATGGCAGGAGTGCCACTCACTCACTCACTCACTCACTCTCACACTCTCTCACACACACACACACACATACACACACACACACACACAGAATAACACGAAGGAGGGGTCAAGTTTTATGCCAGGTGAAATCCTTTAATGTGCCCTACACACTGAAAAGCAACAACAACTTGTTCTGGTGAATGCGATGCCAGTTTAACTCCTCACCGTCAGCGCCAGCATCACTTCTCTGTAGTTCTTGTTGCCCCCGAGTCGCTTCTTCAGCGCCCGCATGGCGTCTTTCGGCCTGGAGGGGAAAAACAGCAGCGGAGACACAGTTGGATGAAGCGCCCCAGCTGAGAGTAGGCATAACATCTTCGACTTTGTTGGAATGAATTATTTTCCGTGCCACAATAACAGATGCCAGTCAGTCTGTCGGCATAGCGGTTTGACTGAGACAGAGAAGTGCTGTCACGCCATCTGTTTCCCCTCTCTTCTTTCTGAGTGACTGTTTTCTCCCAAAGGCAAGATCAAAGCGGCCCATGTGATAAGACTTGAGGTTGGCTCTCTGCCTCACACTGCCCATCTCTTCACTGCAGATGAGGCGAAATAAGCTCCTTCATGAGCTTTGGAATATGCTTTTTAACGAGGGAGCTGAAGTAGACAAATGGATAAAGATGGAGTGCAAAGTCCGATAGCGTCCTCGAACAGCGAGGACGCGAGGAGCTGTGTGTGTGTTTCTGATTCAGTGTCAATTGTTTTTGGATGGTGCATCCATTTTATTACATCTTCCTTAACCCAGTAGCACGTGTTAAGACACTATATGTTCTTAAAAAAGTCATTTTTACTTGCAGAATCTCCGGTTTAACTCCGAGAGCTAACCAGACACTGTGTAATGTCTTTAAGACAAGAAGTTCTGTGTTCTGTGAAGCTGAACTCCCTCCGTGTGTCTGAGTGTGACAGAGAGGGACCCATGGTGCATGCCAAGACAATGAGTGTGTGTAGGCATGAAGAATGTGAAAAGCAGGGGAGAAAAGGGAAAGTGTTGAGGGAAAATGGAAAAAGACAGATTCCATTATTCCTCATGATAATAAAAAAAAAAAAAAAAAAAAAAAAGCTCTGTGCATAACGTCGATATTGGCCGGGATCCCTTGACGATTATATTTATTTAGGGTTACAAAACATTAAAATGCCTTCCTGTAGGTGAACCAAAAACTTGTTCTACGATGCATAATTATTTTCAATACTGATAGGAGCAGCGAAAAATGCAAACCAGTACATGCATGCGTTTTTGTTGTAGCTTATGGTCCGACTTAAGATGCAAAATCTACATTGTGTCGTATACCAGTGTTACTGCAGCAGGCTTAATGGGTTCATTCAGTCAGTGACACCTACAGAGAACAACAGGCCGTCTGTGGTGTGGTGTCTGCTGGTGAAGCACACTGGTAGCCGGAGAGTCACTCAGTCAGCCAGTGGGACCAAACAATGACCGAACAGTTCGGGGACCAGAGGTATTTTCCTACAAAGAGCTGATGAAGCAAATTATAACCCAACAATGATGAACTCACCCCTCTTCTGTCTCGTTTATGATATCGCATATCTCGATGTTGAGGGTCCAGTCCTCGTTCTGTAGGCCTCCATCTGTGGCCCTCTCTGGAGGAAAACACACAAAAACAGACTATTATATTATTGTATTTAAGACAGTTCCATATAATGTTGTCAGTACCTCTATTTTTTGTTTCATTGAGGGGTGCCCCTAGAAGTAAATGTAAACATAGAGTCCTGAGTTTACGTCATTATAGTCTTCACTGTAGATTAATCTACACAACAACATACTAATGAAGAAAACATCAGTTTTTATTTGATTTACAGTAACGTGTGTTGTGAGACAGGACGCTGGTGGCTTTTCACACAGACCTGTTAACAACCCGACATAATGTCACTTAAAATGCAGACAATAATATACATGACCGCCTGCAGATGGTTGAGTTTTAGTTTTATCTGATTAATAAGTGATGAATAAATCTTGGCTTCTCAACGACAAAAACTTGAGGGCAGCTGGCAGTGAAGTACATTTTTTGTTTTTAGACCTCATCCACGGTTTACGCCCCGCCAGCTGTCTCGCTGGTAAGCATGAAGCTGGATCTCGGTCGGGCTCGGCTGTCGCCTGTGCTGAAGTCGATGCACACTAATTAAAGCCACGCATGGTTTACATAACATCGAAAAGTGAAAACTGTTGTGTAAGCAAGTCAGTGAGCAATGTCTCTTTCTCCAATGTCTTTTTTTATAAAAGCCCCTATAATCTTGGTTTTGAATCCTTTTTCCCTGTAACATTATTCAACATGTATATAACTAAATAAGCAACAGTTTAAGTAAATTAAATAAAAACCTGTCAAGAGGTAATTTATTAGTCTTCAACACTAATCTGCTCCTGTAGGACTGTGTGGATGGAGTTTGATCCGATTTGATTGAAAGCGAACAAACAACCCACTACCCGTCATCAGACAGGTGTTGCTGAATTCTGATTGGTGCGCTGTACGTGACGTCACCTTTTACTGACAAGCGACACTCCCACTTCAAACTAGTGAGCAAAACAGAAATACAGAAATCTCTCGTGAAAATAAACAAACTGCTCTAACTTTGAAAAAACAAATCCTTCAGAAAATACTGTGCTCATGCAGCATCCCTTCACTCACAGCATGAAGAAGACGCGTTTTCGGGTTTTGCTTGGATGCATTTTGTTCTGGCTTTGTCAAGAAAACTCTCATGAAATAAAATATCGTTCACCACCTGTTGCTCAACAGTCAGCAAGAGAGCTGGCTGTGTGTTCATAACTCTTATATCAGCTGAAAAAGCAAAGCCACAGAGGCTTTTTAAACTCCACTCGATTTATTATCATTTTGGCAACAGCCAGGAAATAATGCGATCCAGACCGTGAGGAGCTACAGGGATGAACTGGCAGCGCAGTCATCGCTGCGTTTCCTCGCTCTGTCTCCTCCTTCCCCGGCCGTCCCCTGAATCCATCCATCATGTCAGTGAAAGCTGATATCTATCAGGACTGCTCGTCATCTGAGCTGTGGCCGAGTTCCCGTGACTGACACTCGATGGATTCTCATTAGACGCTTCTTGAGCTTGGACGGGAGGAACTTCTCTCCCCCTGGCAGAGGAGGGAAGAGAAAACTAATCTCTCCGTGTGAAATGAGCTGGGAAGGATGCTCAACAATCGGAGCCTTGCTAATGAAGTTAAATGTCCTCCGAGTGCATTCATTCATTCATGGTGTTGTGTCTTACCCCCCCCGGTCCTGGGAATCGACCAGTGAAGCCAGTCGATCACATGGCTTTAACGGTGGCAGGCTGTGCCATCCGCCGACAACAAAGCCACAAATCTTTCCCCCGTCCTGGCCCCACCTCGACACGTTTCGGTCCATTTTTTTTAGACTTAAACATTTTCAATTTGTCTGCTCATTTATTCCTTCACTACGTACCTCAGCGATAGCAGCAGTTTGACAATGGCTGGTCACCTCTGGTGATGTACAGAACTCCCGAGACACAGCATTAACCAGCACTCAGAGGAACTTTGTCCGGTCAAATAGTGGAAGAAATGAATGAACTATTGCATTGCAAATACCACTCACTGACTGACTGACTGCAATGAAGAGGAGACAAGAAAACTCATTCACCACCTCTAAACCCCTCCACCGCCTTCTCAGTCACTGAAGGACATGAAACAGCTCTACAAAGTTCCTCTCTTGCATCCCTCAGCATCCGTTCTGTCGATCTCTCTCTGAATGTTTCAGGTAAGCTGATCCTTTGCCCTCCTGCTGCTGCGGTGTACAATACCACCGCAACAGCCAAACAGATAGCCCGGCTGTACAACTCAGTGCAGCAACTCGACCGCAGAGATCAAGCAGGAGATACAGCACATCTCTGTGAAACCCGAGAAGTGCTGCCTACAACAAACCCATGGATGTGGCCTAGAAAGACCTCTATAGAAACAAAACGCTTGAGTCGACGCTCACAGTCGGTAGCGGAGGGCCGGTGTGAATGACGTGGCACAAAGCAGCGGACCAGCGGGTGAAGGACAACACTCACAAAAGGCCGGTGGACAACTCAAACGCTCGCCAACTCCCATGGACGTCCGTCCTCCAAACATTCTATCCAGAAGCTTGTTTAAAGCACCGCATGGTTATCTACTTTCTATCATTGAGGAACTGAAAAACAGATTAGGGAACAACATGAGAAAGTGTGTCATCGACATAGACAGGCTCCTTATTTATAAAAGACTGACTGCTTCTGTGAAGGTAAACACAGATCAACATTGTGACAAATGAATGTTTGTTACACATCTGTTCTGCAGGGACGTGACTAAACAGGAATTAAACAGGAAATGCCGCTTAAAATTCTTTCGGGTCATTTACACAACTGTGTAAACACTGGCGTTGGAAATCAATTCAACACTGTTATACAAATAAAGAGAGTGCATGTTATTATAGTCGCGCAAAGACTAAGTTAAGTCAATAGGAAAGGATCTATGATAACCCAAGATGAGGAATTTAAAAAGAGACAGAAGAGTAATGATGTTGTTGTAACAAAGTGCACTGGGGTGGGTGATATTCAGGCAATCTAGAGAGTTTCTCATCAATGAGCCTAATTACATTTTAATTAAACTGATATGTAAACAACAACAAAAAATAAAAGTAAATTGTTGCACCCAAACTACGATTTCACATTATCAGACCAAACGCATCTCATCATTTATATTATTCTGTCGTGATAAACGCGCAGAGAAGCCTTGAGGACAACTGTGAAAATGCAAAGATGAATACAACCACACCAGCCACACCAAAGGGATGTGGTGGACCACATGCCTCTCTTCTCCTCTGCAGCACCGCAGCACACAGCCTTAAAACGATAAACCAACCCGGCTGACCGAGCAGAGTGGTCAACTATTGTTCAGGGAACTAAGGACATATTGAACTTGGCTGAGGCTCTGCCAGACACTTTGAGCCATGTCACTAACCACGTCATTCCCTGTCATTTCATTTCCTTGAGAAGTGCATTTGTCTACATACATGGAGAGGGACATGCAGTTAACGCACTTGAGCTTTTAGCGGACTAAATTAGGTTAGCTCTGGCTAACATTAGCCGAAAAGCTAATTCCAAGTAGATGACGTCTGCTGCGATGATGCTTGCTAGCTCGCTATTTTCGTACCGTAAACCCTAAGTAGCAATACACCAATGTCTGCCCACATTCAAATGATGTACGGTGGAGAACGTATCACATCTCTGATAAATAATTTCAAGGCGAACGTACCTATACATTGGCCCACGGGAGTGCTGTACGGATTTCCAAGTAAGAACTCCATTTTGACAACAAACAATCCGCTCGGGATAATGATGGAGCTTAAGGCCCAGAGGTGATATTAAGTCCCGCCCACAGAGGAATGCCATTGGTCCATAAAAGGGAGCGTTTAACACAATTGGTTGAAATCAATGTCGGTCAGATTCAGCAACTGAAGTTATGTTCAACAAACCCTTTTATATATACGAACGTGTGTTTTACTTGATAGTGTACCGTAATAATTTAAAAATACGATGAAAAAATGTACTCAAGCATTCATCCTCTGAATATATAGAACATTAAAAACGGATTAAGTGGATAGAGCCTATATTTTACTTTTGAAAAACTACAAAAAAACAACAACGGTGCACCAAATCATATTGGCATCACGGCAAACGATTGTATTATTTTATTTTGTGTTTTTATGACATGTATAACGCTAGTTAAGTAAGGTATATTTTTTTTAATTAAACGATTATTTTAACAAATTCTCTCTTGAGTACTTGAACGCAGCTTAAAGTCAGCCGGTTGCTATGTAACAGTGTGTAGCCAACAGAGGTAACGTTAAGAGGTTAGATGACTTTGTGACTGTCGTAAGTAGTTAACCTCGTTAATGTTGGTCTGGTAAACTCATTTATCTAGTTAAAATAATCTTAGCTGTTACATCATCAAATGTGTTTTTTGTTGTTGTTGTTTAGCATCCTCAAAGTAAGCTACAAATTCACAAAATAGAATCTGTTTATTACTTTAGATGGATGAGCAGATTCTTCGGAAGGCAATAGTGGAGCAAACCGCTGAAGATCACGTTACGCTTATTGTCAAGGCCGGTGACATCTACTTCCAAGAAACCCTTAAACTACGACTGGAATGCAGAAGTCAGTAGAAAAATGACAATAAATAAAAATATAATAATGAATGTGTATGCGTTTAGGTGTATGAAAGCTTGTTTGTTTACAGACATCCTGATGATTGACCACTTATGGGAATTCACATCTTTGGCCAGACTGGATTTGAACAACAACATCATAGAGAAGATCGAGGGCCTGGACCGTCTGATTAGTCTGACATGGCTTAGTAAAATGAAGCTTTATATTTATATTCTGCTCATGCTTTCAGTAATAATTGTGCATGTATTGATGTAGAGAACATCCTAAACTACCATTAATAATGTCATTCTGAATGTGTCTTTCAGATCTGTCATTCAACAGAATAGAGAAAATCGAGGGTCTGGTGTCTCTGCGGAAGCTTCAAGTGCTGAATTTGTCCAACAACAGAATCTCTGTCATTGAAAACATGGACACACTCGAGAAACTCACTCATTTCTTGATCGCAAACAACCTTCTTGGACAGCTGGACAACGTAACAAGATTTTCTTGCATGAATCCTTCATATATTATGTTGTATCACGCTGTGTTGCAAGTATCAAGTAGCTAGTGTTTTGCATTTTCAGAATACAACATGACATAATGTTGACATGATCAAATACAACTTGAATGCATTTCAAAGGTGCTCTATCTCAGGAAGTTCAAGAACCTGTTCACCGTCAACCTACGTGGAAATCCTGTCTCTAAGGAAGACGGTTACAAATCTTCCATCGCAGCATACCTTCCAAACCTGGTGTGCCTGGACTACAGATTACTTGACGAGAAGACAGTAAGCATGGGCGGTGGTGTGTTTAGACTCAAACCCAAATTGCAATCTGGTGTCTTCCCCTTTTAAAAGCATTTTTTTAAATAAATCGTTTTCTTTTACAGCATGACAATGCCCAGGTTTGTTCGGAAATTCCACGTGGCTATTTGCAATTTGCAGAGTTGATAATAACCAAATCACGTGTGTCTATGTACAGAAAAATGAAGCATCTATAAAATACCGCCATGTCCTTGATGAGGTGAAACGTGCGGAGCTGGAGACACAACAAGCTGATGAGTTTAAGCAAAGCCAGGAAGCTGAAGTCAAATTACACACGGTAGCATAATGCACACATTTGGTCATCCTCAACATTATGTTCCACTGAGCGCTCCTCATTCTGTCTACATCCTGTGTTTGAGTTCAGTTATTCTTCACCTACAGGATGCCTTTGTGGAGCTCCTGAATGGCTCCCACCTGTTTCAGAGCATGCTCAAAGACGACTCAGAGGCAGAGACACTACACTGTGTGCCTGAAGTGGCTCCTCTGCTTCAAACATATCCTGTGTTGTCTTGACTTTCTAATCTACTGCAGGTGAATTAGTGATAACTTATATTCCTTAACCCCTACACTTACATTTGAACAGCAAATGGTGGAGCTGTGTATGCAGTTATTGGAAACAGGTTTGGCTGAACATAAGCGAAGAGAGACGGAGGTGAACTCCTTCTTCAGTGGTCAGAACGAGGCTGTGACACGCTACCAGCGAGAAGCATCGCAGATATTGGCACATTTTGAGCAGCAACACAAAGGGGTGAGCTGTTTGGACCGCAATGTTTTCAAAAGACCTGCACTGTACTTTATGTAGATAAGTCAGTCTACCTGCTTTGAGTGATTAGTACGAGGGTATCTGTTGTGTTCACACTTTTCTAGAGGATAGTGGAGTTGCAGCAATTATCAAAGAAAGACCTCGTGATGGTCAAGATCAACCACTGCAAAGAGGAAATCAACCAACTCTGTAACAGCCTCCTGGCACTGGAGTGTCATCTGATCAGCCAGCTGGAGGTTAGTGTATTGTTTGTGTGTGTGTGTGTGTGTGTGTGTGTGTGTGTGTGTGTGTGTGTGTGTGTGTTCTATAGCTACAGATTTAAAACATCCTCTTACACCTACATGTCAAAAACATAATGACGCCTTCTGTGTTTTTCAGGATAGCATCAAAAAGTTGGACATCAACATCTCGGACATGATTGGCAACTTCATTAAAACTGCTCAAGGGACATATCCTTTCTCATTGAGCTTTGAATCATTTCCGTTAACACTGGTTCATTACTGTTCTCGGGGTAAAGCTATTGAGATACTGCACTTCCTCATTTGGGGAAGCAACTTGCTCCCAATCCAATTGGAGTGGTCAGTAATCGAGTCATGTTTAGATGTCATTGTTTGAATCACACAGTGACACACACACACACAGTTCGGGTGAATGAGTTAAGACTTTCCATAACACAGTCGTACGTTTGTGCAATGTCAAGATCTGGAGAATGAATATCATGAGAAGGTGCAAGTGATTGCAGCAACTCGGGAGAACGTGGCCGAGGACAACCAGGATGAGGACATGCCAGATCGTGATGAAATGGTGAGTGGTATCCCTTTTAGACCAAACTGGCTAATCCCAAATATAGGACGGAATATAGAATTATTCACATGTAATGAAGTTTATATGTTATTGCAGATATAGCAGAATAATAACAGTATCGTGTGAAGAGATTAACCTGACATCAGATGACAGATATTAACCTGAACAGGCCAGACAAGGTTGGGACATGGTTGGATACCATCGTCAGTGCCCTCCGCCTTTCACACCTGTGTTGTGTCTGTGTAGCTGTTTGTAGACAAAGACACAGTGATGGATGCACTGGACAACAGCCACAAGAACCACCTGTGGAAGATCAAGGACCGAGAGACTCAGTTGATTACACGTGCCGATGCCTGGAAAGTTGCTCTCGTTGAAGGGGTAGAGAGCTGAAATTACATTAAAACAAACACCTCAATTTATATTTTCACATGGATGACACAACTTTCTCCTGTATCTCACTGTCTTGATATTGTTTGCTTTTTGTCTTCATGGGTTATTACAGATTCAAGACAAAGAACTTAAGCAGAGCCGCACGCGAATCTCAGACATCTACAGATATGCGGACCATTTGTTGGAGCAGCTGAAAGGTTTATCTGTGAAACGATTCTGCCTAAAGGTATAAAAGTGTGTTTAAAAACATTTTTATACCGTTTCAGCATCTTCTCGTGGTCCCCGGTGCGACCACATACATGTGGATCAATGTGGTGTACATCTCTACTTAAGAAGAATAACATCACAAGAAAAGCGACAGTACAAAACTAATATGTGTTTTTTTGAACTGAAATAATAAAATAAGTAAATTAAGACTTTGCTCAGACTCTGTCTCCCCCTCCAGCCTGAAGCACTGTGCTGATCAGCTTTCTCCAGTGTTCACAGACATTTTCAACACCTCGCTGGAGACATGCCACATACTAGCCTGCTTCAAGACCTCCACCATCATCCCCGAACAACAAAAAAACAAGGATCACAGGACTGAATGACAACAGGCCCGTTGCCCTGACCTCGATGGTTATGAAGTCTTATGAGCGCCTTGTCCTGTCCCAACCCTACCAGAGGGCGTAGTTCTCTGACATTGTCAAGGGAGAGGTGAACGGAGGAGAATGATGTTGCTTGCAATCTGCAATAGATGCCACTAAATCGCACACTGTCCTTAAACGAGGGGACTTTAACCTAAAATATGTCAACGGGGCAGGTAACTCTAGCTGTTACACTTACTGGTCCTCAAATATTAGGACATTTTACTGAAAAAAAACTACAAATTGGTGTATCTAAATACGTAAGTCGTTGCTCAATATAAATATTGTAAATTCTGTCTCTCTGTTTGCACCGATTTCCACCAATATCTTCGCGAGCAAAATGCACGCCAAGTCTTTCCTGGAACTATCTGAAGTCTTCGTGAATCACGTGACTTATCAAGCGATTTTTGAACTTTGACGTTGACGCGACTCCCCCTCTATACGGCTCTAATTGTGGTGTGTCAGGAAAATTGAATACAACTCCCAGAATGCATTTTGGGTACACTATCCAATAAGAGTCTAGCTCAAGCCAAGCACTAGTTTTCCAGCCAATGCAATTCCAGGAAGCTGGAGCCTTGACATGAAACGTTGCAGTGTTCCTCCTCGGTAGTCGGTCCATGGACAGTTTTGGGACGTCGGGGATTTTGTGCCGCTGGCAGAGCCTCTGTCGGGACCCCTTCTCTGTCCGGCTCTAGTGTTCTCAGCCGTAAAGTTAATGACGGTTGCTGACGGTGACACCTTAGCGCTCATCATGCCTGTCCGAGCAGAGTGCCTCAGTACCACCGGCTCGGCCTGCACATCCTTGGCCTCGCTTGTTCCCCCTGCCCCGATCAACACCTTCCAGCCGGGGGTGGCCACGTCGCTGCTGTACAGCGGCTCACAGTTTCGGGGTTATCAGAAGAGCAAAGGCAACTCCTACGACGTTGAGGTTGTTTTACAGGTATATTTTTACTGACATGAACCTGTCCTGTTTGGTCTTTTTTTTTTTAACATTAGTTTGTTTATTGCCACATTGCAAAGTCAGCATATTTGTAGCAGTAGTTGCTAACTTAGCTGTCGTTAGCTTGTCATTCAGTACGCTGACCTAATTATTGCTACTTCACTGTGTTTCTGCTGTGACATTAAGAATTTGGACCTAATTTCATTAATCAACGTTATAGACACCTATTCTGCAGTAATGTCACACACACACTCTCCAAACATACACGTTAGCATCTTGTGCAACTAGCGACCTAAAGGAGTAATAATCTGCAATGATTGACTTTTGACAGCAGTGTCAGCAGCCTTACTGACAGAAAATGTAATGCCTGACTGCAAACCCACTTTGTACGGTTTGTGTCTGTTCACAGTACCCCTCTCCTGCATTTAAAAAAAAAAATATATATATATATATATATATTTGTACCTGTGATTTCAGGCCACTACATAATTATGTATTATTCCCTAAATGTGTTTGCAGCACGTGACTGTGGAGGACTCGTATTTGTGTGGATACCTGAAGATCAAAGGCCTGACTGAGGTGAGCAGTGAAAGTAGGTCAGATGTAGTAAGACTGACCTTTATTCTGAGCACAGACTGGTTTCTACATTGAAGCGAGTGGGAACTGGTTTCTACTTGCTTGATGCAGACTGAATTGTAAATAAAAAAGCTTAGAGGTGGACAATTGGGATGTACCTAGATTGAATCTCTTTATCCAGGTTTGCACTCTAGTCCTCAGCTTAAGTGTGTCAACTGTATACCCATTACAAACGCAGGATCCTATTTAAAACTGGCGAGTTTGTGAGAAAATTAAGCCAAGAGAACAAACTTGCTCGCCTATCTGTAGTAAGTCAACATGCATAATGATAAAGATTCTCCCTAATGATTGATTTGTAGCACAGCTAGTTGAAGCTGTTACAAGTATATCCTAATATATAGATATTGAAAACGTTTTTAACACTATTTGTTGCATCACTTACTGTAATTTCTGCTGCAAAGTTGAACCACAGTTAACATATCCACCTTGTCTCTGTGTGACAGGAGTATCCGACTCTCACAACATTCTTTGCTGGTGAAATTATCAGTCGAAAAAGACCTTTTTTAACCAGGAAGTGGGACGCAGATGAGGACGTGGACAGAAAGCACTGGGTATGTTCGGTTTGACTTTTTTTTTTATTTGAGCCGACAGCTCTTCATCTAACAAGTTCACGGACACTTTTGTATTCTTATGTCTTCCAGAAAAAGCCCATAAATTGCAAAGAAAATTCCGTTTAGACTTTGCGTCCTGAGTTACAGTTGTTGTCTTGTCAGCACCTCCGTAGTTTCTATTCTCTTACCAGTACTTCATGAACTCTTTCCAGGGCAAGTTCCAGCCTTTTTACAAATATGCCAAAAGCTTCAACTCGGATGACTTTGACTATGAAGTGCTGGACAGCAGTGATTATGTCTTCATGAGGTGGAAGGTTAGTACATAGTCGCTCTCTCTCGCTCTCTCTCGCTCTCTCTCGCTCTCTCTCTCGCTCTCTCTCTCGCTCTCTCTCTCTCTCTGTCCTTGTTTTAGCTTTGAGCTCTAACCTCCACTCTTGTGTTTTTTTTTCTGCACCCTCAGGAGCAGTTTTTAGTCCCCGACCACACGATCAAAGACATTAGCGGCGCCTCCTTCGCTGGCTTCTATTACATCTGTTTCCAGAAGTCCACGGCCACTATCGAGGGTTATTATTACCACAGGAGCTCAGAATGGTAACTACCAAACATCTTCTGCCACATTAGTACATGTTTCTTTTGCCACATTTGACTCCTCTCTTCTCCTCGCCCCTGCAGGTATCAGTCTTTAAACCTAAACCATGTCCGAGAGCACAGTATGCCTATTTATGAGTTTCGGTGACGGAATGTACACACGAGTACCGAGTCAAGGAGAGGACAGTTCCTACTGCGCTGTGGTTCAACGTGGACGGGAACACCGGAGAGTCCTTTAGTGCCGAGATGGGAGCTGACCCGTTTCCCTTCCTGCAGGGACGTAAACCGTGGTCAGACTCTCCTGTGGCGGACCGACAGAAAGAAGGCACAGAGAAGGACGAGTTTAAAGGAAAGTAAAGATCAGTGGAGGACGGACGGCTCTTGCAGTCACTGTGGAGCTCACGTTTACTTCAGATTTCATATTTTTAATTGTATTTTGGTCTGTTTTCATTTCGTGCCACCTGATTTCTTTGCGCTTGCAAAGGATCCGTCTTCCTGTTTGTTGGACATCGAAATATGTTCCTGTTTTCCTTCAGCGGAGAAACGTAACTGCCTTTTCAGCTAAGAGTTGCAAAAGAAAAGAGTATAAAGGGTGTATGTTTGTGAGAAGAGCAAAGCTTAATTTAAATCATTTAACATCACTTTGACACCCCCGTAGTGTTTAATGCAGAGTACGATGGTTGTGGGGTTATTGCCAAAAAGGTTGCAGAACAGAAAGTAGCAATGATGAGCAGTGGTCTACTTATTATGCAAGGTCTTTAAGACCGCAAGTTGTGATCTGGCGCTCAGGGATGGTATTTTTGGGGCAATACGTATTGAGACCGAAAGCTGAATGTTGAGAGTTGGCCGAGTTAGGATGACAGCGACGATGACCTCCAACGGGTCGTTAATAATCAATAACCAATCATTTCCATGCTGCTGCTTTTACAAACGCAACGAGAAGTCTTCAAATATCAAAATGTCTCTATGCAAGCCAAAGGTCACAAGTAGATAGGCTTTAAGAGCGCATAACGTGTTTTATTTACAGATGATTTATCTTCCTTTTATTTGTTTTTATCATAAACGTCTTTGTAAAACTGCAGAGGAAAAATACGACTGACTGGGAAAAATAAATGGATTTAATAACAATTACCAGCATGTGAAGCTCAGGCATGTGACAGTGCATTCCAACTCAGTTTAAAAATGTAAAAGTTAATTTTATTCGGTGTCGACAAACCCCTATTGTGTGGAGTTCGACTGACGACATCTTCAACACAGTCTGTGGATAAAATCTTAGTTTTCTTTGGTTTCAGTCACATTCGTCCTTTCAATATAATTTCATCTTCAGAAGCAGTGACACGTGTCTGAATGAGGAAGGCACAACAGTTGAACGTAACAAAAAAAGAAAAGCTTCACACAACATGCTTGTCTGCAACGTGTTACTGTTCTGTCCTCAGTGGAAAATGTGTGAAAAAAAAGCACCTTTTGTGACTCATGGAGAAAAGTCTAAAGTAGGAAGAATATAACCTCCTTTGATGCTTAAGGAGAAACCTGCTGCCTTAACATTTTAAATGTCTGTAAATCTCCTTTTTAAAAAAAAAAAAAAGAAATGATTAGGTTTGTAATATTTTATTTGAACAAATCATGAAAGTATATTTCTGTGGTTGAGGGAACCTCCATCGGGTTGATATAAGCGTCATGTGTTGGCGCGTGCATGTACTCCGCCTGCCTCTGCGTTGCTTATTGGCTGTCAGCTGGCTCGCTCGCCTGCTGCATGACGAGGGGATTTGATGGGCTGTGGGAATAATCTTTTCTTTTTAAAGTATGTGGATTGAAAGTGTTGCAATCTATTGGATTTAATAAAAAAAGATTGCTGTTTTTTTTATTTTTATCGATCATATAACAATGAAAATGTGCAATGTAAGTAACAGATGTTTATTTGTGAGTGTTATTAAGTCTCCACTGAAACACTTGATGTAAAGAAGAGGATGTGTGAGGAGAAATAAAGAGTGGATTATTTCATATGTTTTATTATTTTATATTAGTGATTGTTTAATAACTGGATCCCCATTAGCTGATGCCTTAGTGGCTGCTATTCTTCCTGGGGTCCACAGAAAGGACAAAACATGATGTGAAACAAACAGTACAGTCAGAATAATAGTACAGTCAGATACAAAGTGCAGTCAAAGATGTATATTATCAGAACCGACCATATACACAGTGCATCCATCATTTATACAAAGAAGGATCAGGAGACTACAAAGTGATGATCTGTGCATCGAACATCAGGCTAAAAGTTTAGTGGCACTACAGTGTGACACTACAGGTATACCTGTGCAGGAGTTCAGCACTAGATGTCAGTAGTGGACAGCTAACGGGTTCAAGCACGCGTCAGGCTCCGAACTTTTCAAACCGCTTAACACTTCTGCGGCAGTTATGGTGACGTAATGTGTGGCCAGCTTTGTGTTGTCTCTGACAAAGTGCAGGAGCAGATGAGTACATCAACAAGTGGTGTGAAAGATAAAGGATAGATCAATCCCTCTGACCGTACAACCCATTGTCTGCATACATTGAGGCGGTGATCCAAATCTCTGAAGTATATTCCTCATAAATATCAGTCACCTCCTTTATTATCAGGTCAAATTTACACAAAATAGTTTTTTGTGCAGCTTTGCTCCAAAATACTTCTAGTACTAAATGTAAAGATGGCTCCTATGGCATAGTTTGGTTTTCTAAAGGTGAAGAGTAATTTTTGTTTTGGGAGTTCCTTTACCATCAGGCTGATTATCAGGGGTGTCGTTTGGCCTATTTTAGGGGGGCTAAATGTTCCCTAAAATGTTCTTCAGCCCCCCCAAATAATTTGGCATTATTGGCTTTAAAAAAATATATATATATTTTTTTTTGGTGATGTCATTAAATTAAACTATTGTTTCTCACATGGACAAGTTATTTATAACTCTAACATGCTACATATGTGCGTGCGTTCTGGTTTGTATGTTTTCTCCCCCTTCAAATTACAATCCAATAGCCTATCATCATACTTAACAATGTAAAGTTGACACTGTCGGGTCCATTCTCCATCCATTGTGTGCGGTCCCTTTAAGAATTAGGATTTGGAAAGCTAGTTTAGCCGTCTTTCCTTTACAAGTAGGAAAAGTATTTCTCTCTTTATTTGAGAAAAGTTCATATTTGTGTTGTCAAATTTCACTATGACCCTGAAATTCTGTCTCTTGTGTTATCATATACTGAATGCAAGCAAAACTACAGAGCAAAATCACACTCTTTCTGATTGAACCAATCTATGAACTGTCTGAAACAATGGATATCCACGGCCCCAAATGGGCCCTGAAAAAAATTGCCACTCCCCTTGGGGCTAAGCCCCCCCTTTCTTTGTATCCTAGAAACGCCCCTGCTGATTATTAACCACTTAAGTTAAGTAGTTCCCAGAAAAAAAATTAAAAAAAACGAGTCAATGCTCCGTAACAGTGACTCATGTTTGGTGTACGTGCTGCAGGTCGCATAGAGAGGAAGAAACGTGTTTTTCTGCAAGCAGTAAGAAATGAAAGAAAAACATGGGCAGTAACTTCCTTATCTGGCTTTAACAATGATGGCTTGATCAATAACAACTGCATAGACTTAATGAGACGAGAGACAGAAGTTTGTGCGCGTGTTGTTAGAAGAGTGGAGTTCAGATAAAGGGATCAACCTCAATAGAAATACAGTTCATATCTTATACTGTATGCTGCCCCGGTGGCTGCATATTCTGCTTTTCTTTATTGTCCTTCCCAATGTGCATCCGATGTTGTTGCATATAAAGCACTTTTTAACTGACTTTATCCATCTAATATATATTGTGTTATTTGTAGGCCTATAGCGCATTAAAAAGTACTCAAAGGCACTTTACATGGTAAAAACAGAAACAATAACAGCAATTATGTTCTACTCTACCATGACAGAAAATTAACATTAACATACATATATACATATATATATATACATACACATATACATACACATATACATATATACATATATATACATACATATATATATATACATACACATATATATATATATACATATATATATATACATACACATATACATATACATACATACATATATATATATACATACACATATATATACATATACATACATATATATATATACATATACATACATA